GTTTGATAACAACACAAAATTTCTATTTCCAGAATAGAAATTCGTTTTATAGCGTCAATATAGAATTTGCAAATCGACGAGCGGCGGCCGCCGGCAGGCGGTGGCACCACCAGCGGCAGCGAACGAGCTCCGAGAAGAATTGTTATTTTTGTTTCTATTACAGAAATATAAAAGTAGAAAAATTTATATTTCTCATTTTTGTTCCAAACCTATTTCTGGGCTAAAAACTTGTCTCAGAAATAAAAAAATGAAATTACATTGTTAAAATGGATTTATGTTCCAAACTTATTTCTATGAACAGAAAAATAAAAAAATAAAATGATTATTATTCGCGCCACTAATCCATCAGTTTCAGGAGAGTGGAGAGCATGGAACCACGTCCAGAAGCTGTCCAATCCTCCAATTCACAGAAAGCCTAATGATTTTCTTTTCTTTTTTCTTTGGATTTTTCCAGGAGCATAGGAATTTTAGTGGAAAATGATATTTCTAGGACAAAACTTTTCTCAGGATGTCTATCGTTTTTGGTCCCACAGCATATCAGATGATCAGGATATTGTCGCCACATTGCTACTCTTGGTACAAGAATGAGGATCGAATTGTTTTTCTACCAGTCAAAACCAACGTTCCAACGGTAGCCATTGTTGTCAGACCAAAAAAAAAAAAAAATAGTTGCCATTGTTCTTACCTCAAAAAGTAGTGGTTATTGCTTTCCTAAAAATGGGAAAAATACAAATAATTTGCAAAAAAAGAAGGGACAAGAAGCAATAATCATTCAATTTCATGGCTTCATTGTGCTAAGAAGCGATTTTCTTTCTTTCCTTTTTTTTTTTAGGGATCATGTTTGCATGTAAAGTGTTCGATAAGTGGCTTATGTATATAAAAGAGTTAGTATATATTTTAACTTTTTATGTTATGACTAATGCAGAAACTACAACGAAATCTAAACTGAAAAGAATAAAAGAACATACGAATTTACGTGGAAAACCCATGCAGGAAAAATCACGGGAAAAGAAAAAGCAGAGTTCACTGTGGAAATTCAAGGATTACAAAAGTTGACTTGAAATAACCTTAAAACTAAATAATTTGAAAAAAATAATATTTATATTGCTCCATACGCGAGGGCCGCACACCCCCACCAAGGATTAGTGTTGGGCTGGGCAAGTCCTACGCTACCAATACTAAAACTCCATATTGTTTTTCTCAAGTTGGGTCGCCACAAATTTTAATTCGGGTATCAAAACTCAATTTAGGTCGATTACTTGAAACAAAATTCAAGACATACTCAACATCTTAGATTTCATCATTTACCTAATAAAAATGCTTCTAATGGTCAAGTACTTGGCCCTGCCTGGTGGAAAGAAAATGACACAAAATAATTTTCTCATCTCTTATTGGTGCTAGCTAGCGGAATCACTGAGCACGAATCTTGCAATGGGGTTAAAGGCGTAAGGACAAGAGAAGTTGTCGCTATTGATGTGAGGCGTCGGGCAAGCCCTCGATCCAAGAAGAGTCGTGTCCAAATGAAGCTCCAACTGACAGTCATTTGGGCCGTCGTGATTGAATGCTCATCATCACATGATTGAATAGCTTTTTTTTTTTTTTACGTGATTGAATGGCTTTAGCTTGTGGTTTTCCTCCCAAGAATGATAATGACATAAAAGGCAAATCCTTCTTTGTTCTTTTTTCCAATGACAGCCAGCGAATACAAAATGATCCCAAGAAATATCAATTGGTCCCGATGTCGTGCATTTGGTAGGATTGGTGATTCGTGGGCACGCTTCAAATTCGAGTTTCGAGTACGTGTAGTTGGAAAAACAATTGCTAAACTTGTTAAAATAATGTCGTATTTTTACTTCATGTCAGTTTGTCTCGCTCTTATATTTGTTTAAAATATGCTTCCACAAAGATATTATATCGTGCCAACGTGTTGATAATTGACTGCTCATAATCTTTAATTTCGCTTGACAAACCAAATAGATTAACGTGAAGCATTTAACAAAAAATTTCATTGGGCATTGAAGCGTTATAACAAAGTGGAACGTGAAGCTTCATCAAGACAAGTCTTTTAATGATGGACGGATCAAACGACGAATCATCGTTGCTAGTAAGTTCATATTGCTATAGATTAAGAATCTTGGTGGAGCAAAAAACGACGACTAATCACATCGATAAGTTTCGCAGGAAATGAAAAATCATAAAATGGTTTATTACTACTTTGTAGAGTTTATTTTGTATGTTTTTCTTTGATTTATTTTGAGCATGTAAAGCGTTCGTTGTTCACCCACAATTTAAAGTAGACTAACATTAAATCATTATTAGGAGAAAAAAAGCCAATAAGAACATCCAAACGAGACAAGATAGGCCAGGATCCTAAATCCAATTTTAAGTCAAAAGGGCTAATATAATGAAAAAACTAAACTAATATATCTGTGATAAATTTATTCTAAACTAATTTTTTGATTACAAAAAATATCAAACCGGTACACTTGTGACAAATTTACCCAAAACTACCAAAAACTCCAAACTAGTACATTTGTGATAAATTTACCCTATGTTAGTTTCTGTTAAATTGGATTAATACCACGAAAAACTACAAACTGATAAATCTATGACAAACAGAGGGTAAAACCCTAAAGTGGTACACTCGTCAACTATCACGTGTCATTAAACTCAATAATTTGACGGTAAAATAAAAACGAAAATTAATGTAGAGTAAATTTATCACAGATTTATCGATTTGGGGTTTTTAGTAGTCAAAAATTAGATTGGGGTAAATTTATTACAGATGTACCAGATTTTTCGTGATATCAACGCTAAGTTAAAAGCTTTACATGCAACTCGCTGTCATGGTACCGCCAATCATGATTAGAGGAAATAAACCTGGACAAGTTGCAAAGAATCAAATTCAATTCGCGAATTGTTGGGTGGAATGAAACTTCATTGTCATCATAGGCCCAGTGTAATTATCTAAATGGCGAAAAACGATTCATTTTCCAATGATTATGTCGACCTTGATGGGTGTCCTATGTAATCCGGACTCTCTTACAAAAGGAAGAAAAATAGTATCAGCCGTATGTAAGCTGGACTCTTCTAATCTGGCCCATTGTCACGTGGAAAATTTATGGTTCAGTCTAGCAAACAACGGGATTGGTGTCGTATGGAATCTGGACTCTTTCCATCATAAGGAAAATTTCTGACTATAAATTGCCAATGCTACTATAAATTTTGCAAAATTCCGACAATAATTTACTGATGGGGCCCTTAAGTTTACGAACTGTGAAGGAGTGTTACCACCACACAGGTAAATTCGGGTCTACTCCAATTATTCACGGGAAGTTAGGGACGCTCAAGGATTCAACCTTACGAGACTTTGGAATGTATTACTACATGCGAAGAATGGTGGTTACTAACTTATCAGTTACAAAAATATAATTTTCTCAATGTGAACCTGTAACTTGATTAGAGTTCTCCGTAACGGGGAAAAGTACAAAAAAAGTCCTAAACATATCACAATTTTACCAATTCAGTTATAGACCTTTCAATTGAACCAATTTAGTTTTAAACATTTTCGCATTCGTATCAATTCAGTCCATCCTACTAATTTAGACCGAAAATCGCTGACATGGATACCGACAGTCTTACGTGACACAATCAACATTGATGTGAACAAAATTTATAATTTTTAAATATTTTTTTCAGAATTTTTTTATTGTTTTTTATTTTTTCCTTTTTTTTTACACTGTTGGTCGGTGAGGTCACCGGTGAGGGCCGAAACCCTCGCCGATTGGCCGGCGAGAGCCTCCACACCCTTGTCGGCCATAGGCGAGGGCGCGGAGGCCCTCACTCATGGCAGGCATGGGCTGCAACACTCTTGCCCAGACCAGGCGAGGGCATCACGGGCCTTGCTGACCAACAATCGAGGGTTTTGATCCTTGCTTGGATTTGGACGAGGGTGCAGTGCAAAGGCCCTTGCCCATACCAGCCTATGGCCGGCAATGGTCGGCCGACGAGAGGTTAAAGAAAAAGAAAAAAGAAAGAAAAGAAAAGAGAAAAAATATTAAAAATTATAAGATTTGTTCACATCAGCATTGGCTGTGCCACGTAGGACCCTTGGCATCCAAGTAAGCAATTTCTGACCTAAATTGACCGGATGGACTGAATTGATACCAATGTGAAAATGTTCGTGACTAAATTGGTCAAATTGAAAGGTTTATGGCTGAATTGGAACCAATGCAATATGTTTAACACTTTTTTGGTACTTTTCTCCTCTATAATGTTTTTTTTTGTTGGGATAAGTATGCTGATACGAATTTTGGTTTGCTCACGGTACTGCTTTGGGTTGAGGATTTTGATCAAAAGCCTTAATCTTTAACCAAAGGGTTTACCATAAATAAGGCATATGCGCACGGTGCAACGTCAAAGTAGTAATTCATCCAAAGAGCATATGAAATGGAGGAAGTGACTATGGTTTTGCTAGAATAACAGTCTTTAAGCTATTGTTAGAATAATAGCATATTGTGAGCCACAAATTCTTGAATAAGTAGACTCCATAATAATCTATAATTATTTGTTCTTTAATTTTTTTGTGGCAAAAAACATACTGTTATTCTCACAATAGATTATGGATAGCCACATAAGCATTTCTCTTCTATATAAAAATTGCGTTCAAGAGAAATCTTCAGTTAGTACGTAAACTTTGAAAGCTAAGGGGATGGTTTAAGGATCCGATTTGCATTCCTATAACATCGGCAGCCTAACCCTGCCGATGCAGAACAAACTTTCATAAAGCATTTCCAGGAAAGTCTGTAGCTGTTTAACAATTGAAAACAGCAGCCAGCATGTCGTGTCTTGGCTAAATCCATAGTGCCAAAAGCTGCAAGGTCTGTGAACAGGCGTTTAGAATTTAATGATAAAACTGCCAGAAGATGGTAACTGAGTATATATCTCAAAGTATCTCCCTCACTCACTCACTCTCTCTCTCTCTGGGTTAAATTTTATCGTAAATATGTGATGGAGGGGATTGGGGTTTAGACAAGGACCATCTGCTTGCATTTTTATATAGGTGGGAGAACCAAGATTGAGATACATGTTTGTGACCAGATAAAGATAAGCAATTGCCTGACGTTCAAAAGTTTCCAATCGACTACATACATAAACCCGATAGATATTCTGAGGAGGAAAGCTCAGAGTTATCTTGTCTGCTTAGTGTCGAATCTGGGGCAAGATCAATATTATTATTAGCAGCCTCTCCATACTCATTCACTGAACGGCTCTTCATTTTTAATATCTGAACACCTACATCAATTGGCGTGCTTAAGGAGAAGCACAAGCTCAGAGCCCAAAGAACCCAATTTCTTCCATCCATGGCTCTCCTCTGGACCTTACCTGGTACACTAATACTATCATGAATAGTGTTTCTGCAATGAAACTGACATTGTTTCTTTTGTATGAATGGAACTGATATTATTTGTTCATAGTACTGTATCATTGAAACTCTGACATGCTTTTTCGCCTTTCGATGTATGCTTTAGCTTACTTAGTGGGTAACAACAGAGGCTTACTCCGGTTTAGTTTTTCATTCTTTTTTCTGATATGCTGAAATCAGAGGCATTCTCTTGGATGTGTGATGGAGAGCTTGATTTCAGTACTTGCACCCAGAGCAGCATAATTGATGGTCTCAACCTGCTTTTCCTCTGCTCTTTCTACGTCTTGTGGATCGCCATCACCCTTAGGAAGCGCAACGCCAATGGAAACAGCACTAGGAGGGACTTGGTACTCATTGTCGTTGTGGTCTGTTGTGCATTTAGTAGCCTCGCGCACTTTGGTGTCGCCCTCCGGAGTCTTATACTTCAAGCTGACATAAATAGACCTCAGAGCTGGTTGCTTCACTTTGTTAGAGGATTGATATGGATGTCTTTGACGGGTTCGTTGCTTGCTGCGAAATCCAAGTGGATGAGAACCTTGGTCACTCTTTGGTGGGTTGCCTTCTGTTTGCTCGTCACAGCTCAGAACATCAGGCTCTTGTTGAAAGGGCTCGGAATCGGAGTTTTAGACATTGTGACTTGGCCTATAAACTTTCTCCTTATGTTCTGTGCCTTCAGGAAATATGTTGTGGTTCTGGAACCAAACCCAGATGAGAAATTATACGAACCTCTATTAGGTGCGAAGCCTGATGATTCTCGGTCACAGCTCGGCTGTGCTAGCTGCCTCAGCAAGTTGACATTTTCTTGGATTAATCCATTGTTACGCTTGGGGTACTCAAAACTGCTAGAGTTCAAGGACATCCCATCTCTCATCTCCGAGGACGAGGCTGATCTGGCGTATAAAAAATTTGCACTTGCGTGGGATTCAGTTGTAAGCGATCAAAAGGGTTCGCAGAGCAACTTGGTTATTAAGACCATTGCGAAAGTATATTTCCAGGAGAACATTTTCATAGGCTTATGTGCGCTTTCCCGAACGATATCCGTCGTCATTTCCCCATTGTTACTGTACTGGTTTGTGAATTACTCGAATGGAGGCGGGGAAAATTTGTCAGAAGGGTTCACTATTATTGGGTGCTTGATGCTTGCCAAGCTAGTCGAGTCCTTTTCGCAGAGACATTACTTCTTTGACTCCAGGAGGTCCGGAATGAGAATGAGATCGGCTCTTATGGTAGCAGTCTACAAGAAGCAGTTAAAACTTTCGAACACCGGAAGAAAACGACACTCAACTGGCGAAATCGTGAATTACATCGCGGTCGATGCGTATCGGATGGGCGAATTCCCTTGGTGGTTTCATTCCACTTGGAGCCTCACACTGCAACTCTTCCTGTCCATCGGTGTACTCTTTGCAGTGATTGGCATTGGCGCTCTTCCGGGCTTAGTCCCACTCCTCATTTGTGGACTCCTGAATGTGCCTTTCGCCAAGATCCTCCAAAACTGCCAGTCCCAGTTCATGACCGCCCAAGATGAGCGGCTCCGGTCCACTTCAGAGATCCTGAACAGCATGAAGATCATAAAGTTGCAGTCGTGGGAAGAAAGATTCAGGAATTTGATCGAGTCGCGCCGTGCCACTGAGATGAAGTGGCTGGCTGAAGCCCAATTTAAGAGGGTTTACGGGACAGTGCTTTATTGGATGTCTCCGACTATAATTTCTTCGGTGATTTTCTTAGGTTGCGCTCTCTTGCAGAGTGCCCCATTAAACGCTAGTACTATCTTCACTGTCCTTGCAACGTTGCGGGCTATGGGCGAGCCTGTTAGGATGATCCCTGAGGCCCTTTCTATATTGATCCAAATGATGGTGTCTTTCGATCGCATCAACACATTTTTGGTGGACGACGAGCTAAAGAACGACAGAATAAGGGAAGTCCCATTGGAGGATTCATCTAGCACCACAAGCATACAGATTTTATCAGGAAATTTTGCTTGGGACGTGGAATCTGCAATCTTGACTCTGAAAGACATAAACTTGGAAGCCAAATGCGGGCAGAAGATCGCGGTCTGTGGTCCAGTCGGGGCAGGCAAATCATCGCTTCTTTGTGCTATACTAGGAGAAATAACCAAAACCACGGGAACTGTGAGTTTACAAGACATCTATGCCCATAAGTTGTGCACCTCTGTCATGCACCTAACTCTAATTCTTTCATGTATCTTAATTTAGGTTAAAATATGTGGATCAACTGCCTATGTTTCTCAAACTTCGTGGATCCAAAGCGGGACGATTAGGGACAACATACTCTATGGAAAACCGATGGATGAGGTCCGATACAAGAAGGCCATAAAAGCGTGCGCACTGGATAAAGATATCAGTAGCTTCGGTCATGGAGATCTCACAGAAATAGGCCAGAGAGGGCTCAACATGAGTGGTGGACAGAAGCAGAGGATTCAACTAGCTCGGGCCGTCTATAACGACACAGACATTTATCTTCTTGATGATCCTTTCAGTGCGGTCGATGCACACACCGCTGCAATACTTTTCAATGTAAGAAGTTGAGCTCATACTTTTCTAAGGAAAAAATAATAAGGAGAAACACTAATGATTAACAATCCTGCTGTGCTTAAATCGAGTCTTTTACTGCAGGACTGTGTCATGGGCGTGCTCGAAAATAAGATGGTCATCCTAGTGACTCACCAAGTGGAATTTCTCTCAGATATGGATCGAATTTTGGTAAGAATCGGTATCCACACTTGTCATATACATAATTAGATAAGTTTAGGCCAGTGGTATTTTTTTCTTTTTCGGATATGCTAAACATGAATCGCTTTTTGTGCTATGAAGCTCATGGAGGAGGGACGTGTTACACAGTCGGGGAGCTACCAGGAGCTCTTGACTGCAGGAACAGCATTTGAACAGCTTGTGAATGCTCACAAAGAAGTGCTCACCACATTTGGACCTTCAAACAGTGAAATCCCCGGTGAAACTGCTAATTCAATTACGTTCAAGCATGAGGAATCTAAAGAGGCCAAACAAATCGAGATATCCGAGAAGGCCCAACCGGGAGTGCAACTTACAGAAGAAGAAGAAAAGGAGATTGGTGATGCTGGGTGGAAGCCGTTCTGGGATTACATAATGGTGTCGAAAGGATTAACGCTTCTGTTTTTAGGCTTTCTGACGCAGTTAGCATTTGTGGCGCTTCAGGCTGCATCCACCTTTTGGCTAGCAGTAGCGATTCAATTTCCCGACATTAGTAGTGGCACTTTAATCGGTGTCTTCGCGGGGATTTCATCGCTTAGTGCTGTGTTCGTGTACCTTCGATCCTTCTTCGGAGCTCATCTGGGTCTAAAGGCCTCCAAGGCCTTCTTTTCAGGTTTCACTGATTCCATATTCAAAGCTCCGATGCTCTTCTTCGACTCTACTCCGGTGGGGAGGATTCTGACCCGAGTAAGATTATTTTCACATTCATGTTTCAATATCTTCAGCACTAGCATTTTCACATTAAATTGCCACTATCAGCATTATCACAATCATGTTTCAATATCTTCAGCACTTCCCATATAAAGAATGAGGCTGACATCTAAAATTTCGCAGGCTTCATCAGATTTGAGTATACTAGACTTCGACATCCCTTTCTCCATCATCTTTGTGATAGCTGCTGGAATTGAGCTTCTGACTATAATTGGGATTATGGCCTCGGTCACGTGGCAAGTTCTCATCGTTGCGACTTTTGCAATGGTTGCTGCAAAATATGTTCAGGTGAGTTTTTAAGTCTAGACCTTTCGAATTTGTCTGCATCTGTTGATCAAGAGGAGCTAACCATGTTCTGTCCCTTGACTTAAAAGGCATATTACTTGGCATCAGCGCGCGAATTAATAAGAATCAATGGAACGACAAAAGCTCCACTCATGAACTATGCGGCCGAGACATCCCTAGGTGTGGTCACCGTTAGAGCTTTTAATGCAGTAGACAGATTCTTCTGCAATTTCCTGAAACTCGTGGACGCCGACGCAAAACTTCTTTTCCACTCCAATGCACTAATGGAGTGGCTAGTTCTGAGAATAGAAGTACTTCAGAACCTGACCCTGCTCACTGCTTCTCTTCTCCTGATTCTGCTTCCTCAAGGATATGTGCCCCCAGGTAACCGAAAACTTACACGAAAACAGTGAGAACTTACACATTGTCAAAAGTTCTAGTTAAATTTGTTTATCCCGGTCTTGCAGGACTTGTTGGGCTATCTCTTTCTTATGCTTTTACATTGACGGGTACGCATGTTTTCGTGACCCGGTGGTATTGCTACTTGTCAAACTACATTATCTCGGTTGAGCGGATCAAACAATTCATGCACATACCATCTGAGCCTGCAGCGGTTGTGGAGAATCATAGGCCACCTTCTTCATGGCCATCAAAGGGTCGAATCGAGCTGCAAGAACTAAAGGTGATGTAGCTAGCAATGATCACCTAGAGGTGGGGTGAATAGGTGATTTTAATGATTTTAATCAATTTAAAGCGGAAACAATTGATCACTAGTAAAGTCTGAATAATGTTTAGATTCTGAGCAGTTTATATAGACAATGTGCTAGTATGCAGTATGTAAAATAAGAGTTTAGGGATAGAAAAACTGCACACAAGAAATTATAGTGGTTCGGCTTAGATTAAGCCTATGTCCACTCTCTCACGCTAACAGCCTATTGGTTGGATTTTACTATGTGATCAAGAAGGATTACAAGTTCTGAGTGATATCACTCTGTGAATGATAAAACTTTCTATCTCACACAATCACTCTTACAAAATGTCCCTCAAGATTTCAATGTTTGGCTCATAAAAGACAAGTAGTAGAATTGGAGTTTGCTCAGACTTTGAATTTGTTGATTCTTGATTTCGTTCAATACCTTCTGCTCCTCGCTAATCTCTTTTTATACTCCTCCACTTCCAAACTAGCCATTGGATAGTTTTCAGAGGATTATTTTTCAATCTTTACCTTGGACAGATTTGTATAAAATTGATTGATTAGCCGTTTGTTGACAAAATTTGAATTCCGCTGAATCTGGTCGCCTATACAACCAGAATTTTGGTTTCCATAAGTAGAGCTTTATCCGTTGTAATATATATACTTGCCTTAATGTTTGATTGTCAATCAATTATAGCCTTTAAAGATTGAGTTAATCAAAACTTTCTTTCCGTGAAATCCACGCCAGATCACTAGCCGTTATTTTTGTTCTGAGTAGTTTCAAAGTCTGAGTAACTTTTGGTTCTTGCTTCACATCTAGAATTGAAGTCAGTGTTGGTCTTCAGTAGGGTCTGAAGTTCTTCATCTACTTAATATATCATATAAATGACTTTTTCAGTAGAGTCTGAACTTCTCGTTTTGAAAGTCGTAAAGTTTGAGTGACTTTCTTTTGTCCTTGTAAAATATGAGTGTCTAGAAAGTTCAGTTCTCTTGAAGTATTAAAGTTACCACTTCCAAAATATGTATACCTAGATCAAAATTCTTCAGAGCACGTGTCAAACTTACAAAATTAACATAGATAGTTTTGTCAACTTCAAAATCCATTAGGAAGTTTCCTCGACAAAAGGTACAAATTGCAACTCAAAATCAGAAATTTTTTCCAGGTTGCTAATACTAGGGGTTTATTCCTACTTGGTTTCAGCTAAGGTACCGTCCCAATGCACCGCTCGTGCTCAAGGGTATCACTTGCACATTCAAAGAAGGAAGCAGAGTCGGTGTTGTTGGAAGAACAGGAAGCGGGAAAACAACTCTGATCAGCGCATTGTTTCGATTGGTTGAGCCAGCAAGCGGGAAGATCTATGTCGATGGGCTAGACATTACTTCCATTGGATTGAAGGACTTGAGGATGAAACTGAGCATCATCCCTCAAGAGGCCACTTTGTTCAGAGGCAGTGTTAGGTCTAACATGGACCCTCTTGGCCTTTACTCTGACCATGAGATTTGGATGGTAATATGCACACGAGTGCTCATTTCTGGACTTCATAATATGCCTCCCAATTAGATCATCTTTTTCGTGGATGTGGCAAATTAACCCTTGTTTATTTCTCGATGTGTAGGCTTTGGAAAAATGTCAGCTCAAGGCCACAATTAGCAGCCTTCCGAATCAGCTCGATTCTTCCGGTGAGCGTCGTCTGTTACATTACATGTATCACTCTAATCACGGCTTGAAAGTCACTAAAATCCTACTAAGATACAACAATAATAATTCATATCTATGCAGCAGTACCTTACCTAAGTGCTTATACCAATATCCTCAGACCTTAATCAAAATGATTTTGAGTCTTTTTTCTGCTAATGGGAATGTGAACCGCTTGTCTAAATTTCAAACAGTAAGTGATGAAGGAGAGAATTGGAGTGCTGGGCAGAGACAGTTATTTTGCTTGGGAAGAGTTCTATTAAGGAGGAACAGAGTCTTAGTTCTTGATGAAGCCACTGCTTCAATTGATTCAACAACTGATGCTGTTCTGCAGAGGATCATCAGGCAAGAGTTCTCAGATTGCACTGTGATCACCGTGGCTCACAGAGTCCCGACTGTCATAGACAGTGACATGGTCATGGTCCTCTCTTATGGTAAGTTTCTAGCTATCCTATACATTCATAAACTTTCTCATGATACAATCTCAATCTCATTTTCTTTTGGTAATTCGAGTTTACATTTATTCTTTAAGAGTTAAAACATATCTGTCTCATTGTGACTTGTGAAGGGAAATTTAAGGCCGCAATGGATTGGGATTGCCGAAAACTTAATGAAAGATCAGACCGTTTAATGCTGATAATTTTCTAGTTATATGTGGATAAATTAGGCAAAAATGGATTTTGAAAAAATTTAGTATGATGAGAGTCCTGAAAAAGGAGTCATTTTATAGCTTAAACAATTTGTTATTAAAAAGGACTTCCGTTTAGCGCACTAGTTAGTGTGAAAAACTTATTACACAAGCGGATTCAGGGATGGACACATTTATAATTTTTACTTTTGATAGCTCCATTCATTTTATTAGTATACCAAAGTTTCCATCTAAATTATTATTTTTATAGAATAAAAATATTTTACACTAACGATGTACCTTGTATGAATTCATAGTAGAAAGTACAGCGATTTTTTTTATATTTTTAAAATGGATTTAATTTGTGTTTTTTGAAGGAAATCTGGTGGAGTATGAGGAGCCCTCGGAGTTGATGGAGACCGATTCCTACTTCTCCAAGCTGGTTGCTGAATACTGGTCAAGTTGCAGGAGAAGCTCCTCCCACAGTCTTTAGAAATTATCACTGCTGAGGCTCTCTTATTCATTATCGCTAAATAATCAATTTTCCATTGTGCCCTTTAAAGTAATAGCTTTATAATAAAGTGCATTGCAATGCGAGTTGATGGTCATTCTCATATATATAGTAACATTATTTTATCATTTCGTGGAGTCTATATTAATACATAAGGATCGTTATCAACGTTAAATCGACATATTCGTGCCATTAATTTTGTCAAGATCGAATCAGCAATATGGATGCGCTTATCATATGTCTAACCAAGGCCGTACTAAAGTGAACCGTGAGCGTGACATGATTTGAAAACTTTATTTTGATAGTTCGACAGTTCTTTAAGATAAGTATCGTGCACGAAAATTGCACAAATTTTAAGTTAGTAGCATTAATTCATCATTTCATTACTTATGCAAGAGCTGAAACAGTTAGTAGCATTATTTCATTATTTCTTGGAGTACTGTTAAATATGGACCCTCGCCATGAGATTTCTGCTCATACGCAGTCTCACTCCACCTAGCTGCCCTCGACGCAGCGTCCCCGTACACAAGTCGCTCCGGGGGCCAACCGTGTCCTGTCCCTTGACTAAAAAAGCAAATTACTTGGCATAAGAATGCCTAGGTGTGGTCACTACTGGAGCACTTAATACGGAAGACAGATTCTTCTGCAATTTCCTAAAACTCGTGGTTGCCGACGCGAAACTTTTTTTCCACTCCAATGCACTAATGGAGTGGCTAGTCCTGAGAATTAGAAGCACTTCAGAACCTGACCCAACTCACTGATTCTCTTCTTCTGATTTTGCTTCCTAAGGGATATGTGCCCCCAGGTAACCGACCATTTACATGAAAACAGCAAGAACCTAGGGAATTGTAGAGAATACTAGCTAAATTTGCTTATTTTGGTCTTGCAGGGATTAGGATACCATAATCCTAATATATGAAAGGTTCCAACATACTTGATAATTTTTTTAATAGCAGTTAAATGAGATTCCTTAGAATACGATTGGAATCTTGCACGCGTGCAAACATTAAATAATATATTTGGACGAGATGCAGTAAAATATAACAGAGATCTTATCATGCTTCCTTAGAGTTTGGGATCAATAGAATTATCTTGTCAAGTTTGATAGATGGAGACATAGGAGTTTCAGTTTTCTTGCCATTCTTTGTACCAAATTTCTTGACTAGCTCTTTGACATATTTCTCTTGAAATATAAAAGTGCCACTTGGAGTTTGTTTTGTTGGGAAATCCTCTATGTTATTTTAACGATGACAAAGACAATCAAAAGCTACTAATGTGTATATTGATTGAGTAGTACGAGATGATATATACACAAGTTACAATGCAGATGATGTCATAATTAGCACTGAATGTGATCCTGAGTGCTCTGTCACAATCGGAAATGCTCTGCCGATATGAAAGGATCATTGCCGATAGCTAAGATGAACAAGGTATTGGGTGTCGAGATGTCTATATGCTAGAAGGATTTCTACAAAGGTGAACAAGCTAGAGGGACCTTGATCGAAGGAGAATAAGCCGAGAAGAATAAGGATGTTCGTAATGGATTGGAATGACTAAAATAAGGTGAACAGTTGGATAGACCTTCGTGATGTGGAACAAGCCTAAAACTGTGATATTCGTTGAGGTAGCTATAATGAAGAATGTTTCTTGTGTGGGCATGATTTGCTATTGAACTGGAGATTGTAGTCATTAATGCTTTTCTGCACACGCAAGCAATGCTCAAGATTGGCATGATCTCAATTCCCAAAGAAGGCTTTCAGATATCCATGGTTTGATTTAATTTCCTTCAACAAATGAAGTTAACTTCCATACAAGAGTATCGCCATACCGTCTGATTTCTTATCCTTTTAATCAATTTTACATCTAATAGTTAATTATTTGTAGTAAATGTAATAATTAAGTAGAGACTACACCTTGTCCATAGTGAAGGCTTCTACTTATGGCAAAACAAGGAGCTGTAATCGAAAAATGTGATTATGGTCAAATACTCTCTTTTCAAAATGGTTACCGGTTCATAAGTGACTTTAACAACATTAAGTACATTAAACCACCTAGCAGTACTTCACAAGCACTGGTGTACTCACTGTTAAACACTTGATAAAGCCATTTCTATTAGGATACGAAAAAAAGGAAAGCATGTTATCATATGTGCACTAATTTGCACACTGAGCTGAAAATCCGGAGCCCCCAAAAAAGAAATGGACTCCAAATGGATTTGGCGGGTCCACCTTGAGCAGTAAGTCATAGCATTCAGGTCTTGTTACATACGTCTTGAGATTCTCGGCGTCTCTCTCAATGGATCCGTCATCGACAAATTTAAGATTGCGGAAAAAGGCCGCCTTTCCAAAGCCTTCAGAAGGGAAATGGCCGCTCCCCATTTCCGTTGACGTATGCCGACCATTCGGTTCACTGTTGACTATCTCTCCGCCCCAACTAATTACATCGGCACTGCCACCTAGAGTAGTGAAGATTTCTCCGGGCCAGTATCCTACCTCCACGTCCGCAACGCGCAGCCACCAACGCCCAAGGACATCATTCTGAAATATTTTTGTTAAAAGACGGAAGACTCGAAAATATCCCATGTATATGTACCTAAAAGATTATTCCATTACCTTTGTTATGCCTATAGTTATGTCATATTGCTTTCCACCATAGGTGGAAACCGGTAGAATCCGAGAACCTAAAGCAATCTTGCTACTTGTTTGTACAAATCCAGGGCATTCGAGATTGTAGCATCCGGTTTGCTGATAGCCATCACTCTAAAGTCCACCCAAGAAAAGCATGTTAAGGTTTGATAAGTTTGTGAAAGTTTGGTGAATTGTAAGCGGCCAAAAGAGTTAAGAACTCACTGTCCAATATATGAAAAGCTCTGGCTGGTTGCCAGTACTTGGAACTGTAGTAACCTATAATAAAAACACAAACCACTTATCTTATAAATCTACACACATTTAGAATGCCAATTATGCTAACATCTTCAGATTCTATCATTCTAAGTTCGGGACAAATACAACATGAGTGCCATAACTTATTTTTCTCACTTAAGTGCCATATCAAAGTAAAATCGATCATTTGAGTATCATTTTCGGCAAATCATCCTATGCAGATTTTCTAATTTATTTTCCATCCAACGTGGTTTTTTAAATGTTATTTTTATTTTTGTTCTTTAATTTTTTTGAATTTTTCTTTTTTTTTTTCAGGGCCACTGAGGGTCATTGGCAACCCTCGCCAGCTATGAAGGCTAGGCCATTGTGGCCGAAGGCGAGGCAGCCACAGCCGACAAGGGCCGCCGATGACCCTTGTAGCAAAAAAAAAAGGAAAAGGAAAATAAAAATAAAAAATTCAAATAAAAATATTAAAAAATATTAAAGTATTAAAAATTTGTCCACGTCAGCACCGGCAAAGCCATGTAGAATGACTGGTATCCACATCTGATTTTCCGACGAGGCAAATTGTTGATGGCATTCAAGTGATCGATTTCTCAAATTTGTGACATTCGAGTAAGCGTCGTGTGAGAGTTATGGCACTCTTAGGCTGCGCATGACAACTTGCCAAACAGTGTATGATTCTGTTCTTTTGTTCCCAGAATCAGTTTGGGAACAGAAATGCGTTTGTTTAATTTTTTGATTCTGGGCACAATTTTGTCAAAAATTGTTCCCAGAATCAGTTTTGGAGCAGAATCAAGAATAAAAAAAAAGTAGCTTCTTGATTCTGGGAACAATTTTGAGAATCAATTTTTTTTATTCTTCCTTTTCTTGGTTTTTAATGTAGCTTCTAATGTCCAGCCCAATGACCGACCTCGCCGAATCTTATGAGAATAAAATATTTTAATAAAAAATATTTTACCGGCCATGGCCGGCGACCAGGCCATGGCCAAAAAAAATAAAAAAAATATTTTTATTTTTTAATAAAAAAATATTTTACCTGCCATGGCCGGTGACCAGGCCATGGCAAAAAAGAAAAAAATATATTTTTAATAAAAATATTTTACCTGCCATGGCTGGTGACCAGGCCATGGCAAAAAATGAAAAAAATATATTTTTAATAAAAAAAATATTTTACCGGCCATGGCCAGCGACCAGGCCATGGCCAAAAAAAATAAAAATGTATATTTTTGATAAAAATATTATTAATAAAAAAAATATTTTACAGACCATGGCCGGCGATCAGGCCATGGCCAAAAAAAAGAAAAATATACATTTTTAATAAAAATATTTTAATAAAAAAATATTTTACCAGCCATGGCCGGCGACCAGGCCATGGCCAAAAAAAATAAATAAATATATTTTTAATAAAAATATTTTAGTAAAAAATATTATTAATAAAAAAATATTTTACCGGCCATGGCCGGCGACCAGGCCATGGCCCAAAAAAATAAAAATGTATATTTTTAATAAAAATATTTTAATAAAAAATATTATTAATAAAAAAAATATTTTACCGGCCATGGCTGGCAACCAGGTCATGGCCCAAAAAAATAAAAATATTTTAATAAAAAATATTATTAATAAAAAAATATTTTACCGGCCATGGCCGACAACTAGGACATGGCCCAAAAAAATAAAAAAAATATATTTTAATAAAAAATATTATTAATAAAAAAAATATTTTACCGGTCATGGCCAGCGACCAGGCCATGGCCAAAAAAAAGAAAAAATACTTTTAATAAAAATATTATTAATAAAAAAAATATTTTACCGGTCATGGCCGTCAAGCAAGCCATGGCCAAGAAGGAGGAAAAGAAAAAAAGAAAGAAATATTAAAATATTTAAAAATATTATTAATAAAAAGAAATTTTGTGGCGTTACCAAACGCATTTCTGTTCTTTTTCTATTCCAGGGATGGAATTTTGGGCCGTTAACAAACGCCTTAAAATGCTCAGAATCAATTTCGGGCACAGAATAAAAAAGAATCATTTCTGAGCAGAATCTGTTCCCGGGCACAGAATCGTTGTCATGCGCAGCCTAAGTATACTTGTCCCTTCTAAGATCTTACCATCCATCCTGCCTCCACAGTGTTCAAATTCTCTTTGGGACCTGACATGAGCCAAATTTGAGAGAAACTCACTTCCGGATACATTACTGTAGGATTCCACACATTAATTTTTGCATTAGCTCCCCTGTAGTTGCCACCGATCATAGATACTTGAGCATACTGACCAATACACAACAAACTCATAAGAAGTGAAACTTTAAGGATCAATGCATAAGCAAAATCACAACTCAAAATCAACGCCACAATAGTCATATCGTGATGTATTTGCACATACTTCATGTCCACCCGGTGGAGTGATGATGTTCTCGCTCAGATTGAGCCGCTTCATGTGTGGAGTCAACGGTATAACATGACGATTGGTATGGTTTGTGGTCTTCTGATGGGGATCGTTCTTTCAGGGCATTCACCATATTTCCACCAAGCTTGATTGAGTGCACCTTCCACATATCCCGATCCATCTCCTTTCCGATTTGAGCTTGGTTTAATCTATTCGTAAACGTGCCAGCTTCAGTGATTGTTATAACAATACATCATAGACCAACCCGAATTTCTTGGACATCCTGCAATATTGAAACAGCTTTCTCCTACAACTGCTCTATGATGACCCTCATCATTAAGGTACTTATACTGTCATCACTGCACTTAATCATTTCTACTGCTAAGTGCAAATTTTGCATGGGAGGCACAGGACACCGATGCAAGTTACAGGTCAAAAAATGAGGGGACAAAAACCTGTGCGGTATGATTCTTGAGAAGCGGATGATCAAAAGCGGGTTGCTTAAAGATGTCAACACAATCGATCACTTCACCAGTTTCATAACTCTGCACCAGTTTCTCATACATTATCTTAGCAAAAAGAACATATTCAAAAGGAAAAAAAAACATGAAATATCAACAGGTAGAGTTTACCTCAATGGTTTTTACTGCTCCTTTAGGCTTATCGAAACCTGTAACTTTGTTTGATATAAGAATTCTCGCTCGAGCATGCCCATCGCTTATCATACTGATAATACTTATTATCAAAACCAACCATTTGAAAATATGCATTCGTGGACTTAGCATTATCACTGTAGAATAGACCGGAGTATTTTTGAAAATGAGACAAGACAATGTTCTTCTTTATATGCACATAAATCACATCCCCTTGGTAGACCTCAAACCCGAATCCTATTAATCATCATTAATAGCCTACCGTGGATACCCGTTTTCACAAGGAAGAAAATCATTCTTCTTTTGGCAAGCATGGATCGCGTTTTTATACTTGAAAGGAAATGTTCAAGATTTAGTAATTAAAAAGGGATATGCATCAACGATTTATCATTTTCCTTCCACATATTGAAACATCACTACAAAAAAACATGGATTTTGCCACGGAAATTTGCGACCGGGAATTTTTCGTTGCTAATTTGCGACGAAATTTGCGATTGATTTTTTTTTTTCCGTCGCAAATTAGCGACGAATAATTTTCGTCGCTAATTTGCGATGGAATTTGCCACGAAATAAAAATTCGTCGCAAATTAGCGACGGAAAATAAATCCGTTGCTAATTCCGTCGCAAATTAGCGATGGAAAATAAATCCGTCGCTAATTTATGCAACAAAATTTACTATTTTGCGATGAAATTAGCGACGGATTTTTTTACCGTCGCTAATTTGCGACGGATTTTGCGACAAAAACGAATTCGTCGCTAATTTGTAATTTATGACGGAAAATAATTTTCGTGATATCCATCCCCACCGTCAATTTCTCTCTCTCTGTACTGATTCCACATATCCCCCCTCGCTTTTCTCCCTCTTTCGTTTCTCTTGATAAACCTATCCGTGCGTGTATAAATCAATCTCGGTAAAGCTTTTCTAACGGTAAGTAGCATAGCTAACTTCGTGACTAATTGGCGACGAATACGATTTGTCGCAAAACTATTCATCGCTGAATTCGAATTTTTTTATTTTATTGACTATTTTATTGTTTTTTTTTCCTAACTTCTTCGCCGGCCATGGGGGGAGAGGCCGCTCGGCCTCCCCCAGATCTGGGGGAGGCCGAGCGGCCTCGCCCAGGTGTGGCGGTCGACCTCGCCGTTGCCCAGATCTGGGCGAAGATGATGCTCATGAAGAAGATCAAGATCAAGATCAAGATCAAGACGAGGACGAAGATGCATATCAAGGAGAAGACGAAGACGAAGGAGAAGACGAAGACGAAGATTAAAATTTTTGTGACAAAACACTAATGATGTGTAATTATTATTGCGACATGTGTTATTTTGGTTGTCATAATTATTATTATTGTTCTTGTTATTATTGTTATTGTTATTATCATTATTGTTGTTGTTGATTTTTCTTATTAATATAATTGATCGTCGGAAAATTCGTCGCTAAATGACAACAAGTCAAATATTATTCGTGCGATGACATTTGCGATATTTTATTTTCCATTGGATTTGGATCGTCGCTAATTTCGTCGCTCATTTTGCGGCAAAAACTTATTCGTGGTTACTGTTCATCGAAGAATTAGCGACGAAAGTGAAATTCGCGGCAATTTTTCGAATCCGTTGCAATTTGCGATGGATTCGAAAATGCCCTTTATTTTTGTAATCCGTCGCAAATTTGTGACGGATTGGAAAATGCCCTTTATTTTTGGAATCCGTCGCAAATTTGCGACGGATTGGAAAATGCCTCTTATTTTTGGAATCCGTCTCAAATTTGCGACGGAAAAATAAATCCGTCGCAAATTTGCGACGGATTGAAAAATGCCCTTTATTTTTGGAATCTGTCGCAAATTTGCCACGGATTGAAAAATACCCTTTATTTTTGGAATCCGTCGCAATTTTTGAGGCGGAAAAATAAATCCGTCGCAAATTTGTGACGGATTTTGCGACGGTTTGGAAAATGCCCTTTATTTTTTGAATCCGTCGCAAAATCCGTCGTAAATTTGCGACGGATTGAAAAATGCCCTTTATTTTTGTTTCTGTCACAAAATCCATCATAATTTTTGGAACGGAAAATAAATTCGTTATAAATTTGCGACGGAAAAATAAATCCGTCGCAAATTGAAAATAAATCCGTCCCGCGTTAAAATTCTTGTGGACGAGAAGCCGAGCCAAAACAGACCCCCTCTCTCTCTCACATGGAGCTCTCGGTGTCTCCTTCGTCTTCCCTTCGCATCCCGGCCATAACCCCTCTCCGCAGCTCCGCCTCGTCTCACCGCCGGGATGGCCGCGGCGGCGGCAAGCCGACGTGCCGATGCCCCGCCGGTCCCTACTTCAAGCTCTCGCAGAGTTCGCCGTCGCTCCGCGCGTCCGGCCCGAAAAGCCGGTCGAGACCTGCCCCGAGAAGATACAGCGGGAAGAACCTTATCCAGGTACGCGCTCACTCTTCTGCTTCGCGTCAGTTTTCGCTGCAAAGCTTCCCGGTGCTAGCTAGCTGTGCAGGTCCGTGTGATCTTTGAATTAGCGAGATATTTGGTCGATTGGGCTCTTAGGTGCGATAGATAAGCTGAAGTGTCCATTTCTCCTTGGACGAAGAGGAGTGAATTCGTTGCGGCTGCTTGTTTAATTGGAAGATGCGCTTCGCAGGATACTCATCATTTCACTAGATGACTAGTTGGGCAACATAACATTGAATTTGCATAAGTGCGAGGATGAGAATATTGGGAATTGGATGGAATGGATGAAATGCTGCTCTCAAGCGTGTAGCTTTGGCAGTATTGGTGCCATACTATGAGGGGTTGGCAGCTGGATCTGCCTGGAAATTTGGATGAGATGTGAATGTGACTGGAATACATGGTCCTGCTTATCACGTTGCCGAGAGCAAGTGAACGGCTCAACATTAAGACTCTAATAGGTGGGGTGCTGCTTAATGAAGATATGGGCTTTGTTGGCCCAACACCCAAAGAAAAGAGGGAAAACAGTTTAGGTGTTAGTGGGTGGGGGGCAATTGTCCATCTTCTTGCATAGGCTTGAGTGTGTACTAAGAATTATCCATCAAAGTGGGATTTAGTGTAGTAGCAGTTCTCTACTAAGGGTTTCCCATCACTGTATGGATTTGGTGTAGCAGCAGTTTTCACTAGAAAAAAGAAGAAGCTTTGATACCTATAGTGTGTCTTGATATCAGACTAAAGAAGATATATAATGGACAACTTGATGAGGAGTTGTTCTTTAACCCGAGCCAATATAATAATTGGACGATTGTCATAATGCACCTTGAATAAGAAGAAAAATCACAGCTGAGATTTTAAAAGTCAATTGAAGAGTTTTCTTATGCATGATTCTCGATTAACTATTTGACAAAGCTTCAGGTACATATCTATTGGAAGATGCATGATCACACACTCTGTTCATCCGACATTCCTCGTGTCCTAGAGTCTTTCTAGTTTACTTGTGCCGTAATTGAGTGTACACATTCTGCTAGGTCTGTGCTCGAGTTGGAGCAGCTGGATCTGATCCTATATCGAGTAAAGTCTTTGATTTTAAAGATGCATGTTGGAGATTTTTAAGACCTCATACAATAAGAGGAACAGCTCTGGGTTCCTTGTAAGTATTCTTTTCCTTCTGCCATAGTTATTTACAATTAGCTGATCATAACACTTTAGTTTTTCTTTTGTTTTGTCTCTCCCTGCTTGCCCCAGTTTACTTGAACTTACTCTTGCTCATCAACAGTTCATTGGTGGCTAGAGCTCTGATCGAGAACTCGCACCTGATAAAGTGGTCTCTTCTGCTTAAAGCATTCTCTGGTCTTTTTGCTCTAATATGTGGGAATGGATATATTGTCGGCATCAATCAGATATATGATATCGGCATTGACAAGTACGTGGTGCTTGCTGGAACTGAGAAACAAAGCAAAAGTTCTTCCGACTTCAGCATAGATGTTTAAAGTGAGAAAGAATGCATGTGTTCATAATGAAAAAATGTGACATCCCAATTTTTGCTGGACATCAGATTTAGGTCAGTGTTTGAGGTACCATGCAAGAACTCACGGTTCTTTGGAGTTCTAGTTTTTTAATTAACCTTCTTGTCATGCCTATGCTTTTGAGGATCAATGTCCCCAGCTTACCCTCCAGTTTTATGATTAGTATCTTTTTTATCTTATTTCAGGGTCAACAAACCTTATTTGCCTATAGCAGCAGGAGATCTTTCTATTCAACATGCCTGGCTTTTGGTGATATTTTTTGCAGTGACTGGCCTGTCGATCGTTGCTTCAAACTTTGGATCATTCATTACTTCTCTTTACAGTCTGGGTCTTTTCTTGGAACCATCTATTCTGTTCCTCCTTTTAGGATGAAGAGATTTCCTATTGCAGCATTTCTTATTATTGCCACGGTATATTTTCTTCCTTATTTTTCTAAAAATTGAATAGTTTAAAGTCGCTCCATCTTTTTGTGCCTTGCTGAAAGATTATGGCTGTACAACCTGATGAGCTTTGCTCTGGGTAGAAACTTTCTTCGCTACTTTCTTCTTTTAGTATTTTTTGCCGACTAGCATCTTTCCTTCAGTTATATTTTTCAATTATATGGCATTGTGTTTGGTTTGTTCGTTTTCTGTTTCTGAAGCGGAATCTATGATTGTCTCGTGTCCTTTGATTGTTTTGAATGTATTACATGATGTTCATTAATGCGTAGCTATTGCTATGGACAAGATTTGATGGCCCAAATGGTGTATAATTTGCGATGAATATTTAGCGACGAATTTTGCGATCAATACAGTTCGTGGCTAATTTGCGACGAATATAGTTCGTGGCTAATTTGCGACGAATTTTGCGATGAATAAGTAGCGACGAATTTTGCGACCAATTTTTCGACGAATTTTCCGACGTATAAAGTTCGTGGCTAATTTGCGACGAAATTTCCGACGAA